CTAATTGAGAGATATTCTAGGAGTAATTGAGAGAGATCCTAGGAGTTTGTCTCTCCTATCTTTTCTTATTTAAGTTGTATGCTCAACATGTTTTATCAACACATCATCAATACAGAAGTATTTATTTTCTCTCCCTCTTCATTTCTTCTTCTCTTCCTCTTTATTTTTCCACACACTGTAATGAGGAGTGAATAGAGTGATTAAAGGGGATCAACAGTCCCATCAACAAGTTGTATAAACTGCTTACAATCTGAATTTTAATAAAATACATATTTACTGATCAAAAAAAAGAAGTACAAAATCTTCAACCTCATTTCTCAAGATCCCCTCCCCCCATTCCAAAGCACCCTAGATGTCCCTAACTACCCGCATCAAAGTCGAGCTTCACTGGGCCTTCAAGCAGTGGAATCCATCTTGTAATTGCCTTAGTCTTCCTAGAAGAGCACCTTGCTACTGCTGACCAATTTCTCCATAAGTTTGAAAAGGAAAAGTTATGGGAAAGTTCCACAGCCTTTAGCCAATGGGTTGCCCTATTCAACTTTTAACACACAATCCTTCAGATCTTGGCTGCTCCTCTCCCTGTCTTGGAAGATTCAGGCATTTCTTTCTTCCCAAATTGTCCATAACAAGACTGCTCTAGCACATCTCCACATGATTCTCTCTCTTTTTTTGGGCCAATTGAAGGTAGAAGGGTTAAACATCATGCACACTTCTGCAGTTCTGCTGGCGTGTTCCACCTACACCCAAATAACAAAAAAGGCCAATCCCATAATTCTGCAGAAAAAGGGCAAGACACCAGTAGGTAGTGACAATCCTCCCCGTGGGCTCTACAGAGAGCACACCAGTTGAGTAAAATACAAAGGAAAGGTCTTCTCTTTTATTGGTTATCTAATGTGTTCACTTTCCCATGATACACCTACCATGTCATACATTATTGAAGCCCAATAAGGCTTGCAACAGTTATGTTATTGAACCACTTAAGTAACAGGCCTAAGCCCAAAACTAGTTAAACTAGTCACATGCATTGGGTCGAATATGGATATGGATCTCCATATTATCTAATGTAATTAGAGACCAACCCAAATCAGATTTGGATAAGTCCTAAGTACATTAGGATTGGGGTCTATATATAGGATACAAAATGGAGAGATCGATCACTACTAGTGTTGCATATTCTCTTGCATCATTTCTCTTTTCTCTTGCTACCCAAAAATCCTATCCTAATTCGAATCAACCTTGAGATCCATTGTTTTCTCTTGGTTTCTGCTATGTTTTCTACTGAAACATATCAGAGATTGAAGTGGTTTCACAGTTGCATAATTCCAAGCTTGTTGGAGAAGGAGTTCAGCTGAAACTAGTTGCAGGATTGACTTCCATCTAACTGTGTGATCTTCAATTGGAAGGGCGAATTGGGTTTGAATCTTGGGCGTCAACAACCACTCTGGGAGCTGCAATTTGTCATCTTCATATCAAGTACTCAATTTTAGTTTGGAAATCAAATTTGTTTCGGTCCAATGCTAGATAGATCCTAGGAAAATACAATTCTGCAAATTCAGAGAATCCAATTCTCGGGTTCGGACTGAAAAAATTTTGAAATTCAGCCAATAAACCCTAGCTGGTTTAGCCAACATACTGATGTTTACATTCCTTTCAACAGTTACTCCCTCCATGCATGCCTTTAATTAGGTGTATATACCTATTTTGAATCCCTTTTTGTTCCAAAACCCACTATATTATCTCTCTAGGAACTCTATCATAGGCCTTTTCTAGATCAATGAATATCATATCAAGAACTTTCTTCTTCTCTCTGAACTTTCTATCAATCGACTCAAAAGAAATATAGCTTCCATGATTGACCTCCCTAACATAAAGCCAAATTGGATCTCTTATACACTTGTTTCAAGTCGAAATCTTTGTTCAATTATTCTCTCTAAAATTTCATAGTGTGACTATGACTCATGAATCTAATCCCTCGATAGTTATTACAACTTAGTACACCACCTCTTTTCTTAAATATAGGCACCATACTATTATTTCTCAAATCATCAAGCATCCTCTTTTCTTTTACCATCTAATTAAATAGCTTAGTTAGCCATGACAAGTTTACATCTCCCATACCTTTCCACGCTTATATTGGAATTCCATCAAGTCCTAATGCCTATCCCTTCATCTTATTTAGTGCCTCTTTTACTTCAATAAGTCCAACTCGATGAAGATTGAAGGTATGTATTATTTTTAACACTAATATTATTACTAGCTTCTCCTCCATTAGCACCCTCTCCTTATTGTTCATTTAATAATTTTTCAAAATAGTTTTTCCATTTTTATTTGATTTCTTCATCTTTTACCAAAGACTCTTTGATCTTCATCTTTAATGCACCAGACATGATTTCCCTGCCTTTCCTTTCTCTTAACTTTGCTATTTATACATTCCTTTCTTATCCCTCTTTAATGCCTAATTTATTATTATGAAATTATTGGTCATGCAAAATAATATATTTTTTCAAATATAATGAAATCCTTACTTACCAGGAAAAAAGGATATTGCAGGTAATCACCACCATATCACCATCATTTTTGCAAATTTTATACACGTACTACTATTGCCCTTTTTCTTTGATTGATAACTACCTATTATTTTCATTTTTACCATTCTAACTATAGTAGTTGTTGTGGGGTTTGTTTTTGCTGTAAGAGATAAACAATTCTAATAGAACGTACAATGAACTCAACCAGATGAAATATGAAGCAAATGATAATAAGCATAAATATGAATCATTGAACTGCTAAATGTTCATAATCATGTATTTTTTTTTTTCACATGTATGCCGCCTAACAATGCAAACTCAAAGAAATAAAGTAAAAGAATAGTGATTTCATACCAGCAGTCACCAAGCATTCCAAGGACTGCCCCTAGTTGGGAACACAGCTCTGGGGTATTTCCCAATCTTTCTAGCTGCTCCCGGATGTCCTCTGCACATAAACTAAGTCTTGATTTGGCACTTTCTATATTCTGGGCACGAAACGCCTGCAACACAAAATAGGGAAAGAAACTATTTGACATAGCCAACAGGAATATGCAATAAGAAAATTTATTTGGGGAAATTACAGGGAAAAAACGATCATGTAGACCATTAAATCTAGATGGGAGCCAAATATATCAATTGCATTCCTTAAACCCTGAGATATCCATCCAAATTGCATACAGGGAAAAATCTATGCTGCCGGAAAGACATGATACTGGAAGGGGGTCATGGGCGACTTTGATAAATAACCCACCTGATTGGTTACCACTTTTATGATACCATCTGTTTGGTTACAAGTTTTTCCGGTATCATAGTCGAACCCTACATACAGACATACATCACCAAATCAAACTCACCCTCATTGCTTGTTGTACCAAGAAAGCACCCCTCTCCAAAGAAACATCTTCATATATCACAATTTTGTTTTCAGATCCTACTTCCTCCACATTTGTCTTAACATGAGGCCTCTTGATTCTAGCATGACCATCAATGAAGCGGTTGACAACATCCTGAAGATCTGTATCAGGCTCAATCTTCTCTATGTCAGCACCACACAATGGACAGTCCTTGAAGCGTGATATGCATGCTCTAACCAAACAAGAAAGTAGCAGAAAATGATAATGTAAATAACGGCAGAATTCTAAAGCAAAATGAACAAAATAAGTTCCTTCTCCTATCGATAACTAAAGGGATTTCGATAAATATCAAACAAAATTGGAAAAAAAATAAAGAATAAGCAAATTGAGATACTTGGATTAAGTGAATGCTGCTTACTTGCAATATTTGTGTGAACAAGGCACACATTTAGAACTTTCATAGAGAAGGGCCTGGCAAATCACACAACTTAGGGGGCCCAACTTAAACGTATGAGAGTCATAACCAAATGGACACTTTGGAGATACACTAGCAGAATCATCAGACTCCCTCCTAACCTTGCCCCCAGGTTCAGCCTGGTCTCTGCTATGGTTATCCATGGACTTCCTTGGAGAGGCATCATCAGGTCGTGCTGATTTAGCAAATGGGCAAACTGATGTCATATTGATCAACAGTTTCCTGTTTAAAGACATTAATTGCAAGTTATATTAAGTTTTGTATCAATTTGAATTCGTATTAAAGATTCCAAATAGAACCTATAAACCTTATGCACTCGTTATGATGACAAATTCACCGTGGAAGGACAATTCTTTTTTTTTTCCTCCAAGAATCCAGTGGCAGCAGACGCATGAGGGGACCTATACAGACAAAACCACATTTCCAATACCCATCCATTTCATCTAAAACAAACATACCATATATTACTTATCATGTACACCACAATTTGCATTTACTAAATTATTTTCAATAACATATGTCTTTCTTATGAATAACAAACTGTATGGCCATCGTGGCAGTGTGCCGAAAACATTTCTTGTTAGGGTTATAAATGACTTTGATCATAAATACCATGTCCGGATTCGACCTGGAATTAAATGGTTCCATTATGGTTTTTCCGTTGCACCAGATAACACATATTTAGCATCTCGACAGTAAAATTGACCCATTCCAGATTTCAATAAATGAAATAGTTTCATTTTTTCCTAAACAAATAACAAATAATTCCATTTTAGACCACAACATTGTGTGTTCAATGTCCTTCAGAAAGAATAGGTCGAAATGGTTTCATTTCACGTGGCATCCAAACGCATTAAAATAATTTCCACTAAACTCAGATGAACAAAACGATATACAGTCTCCTTCGTTCTTCGAGAAAATTTAAAAACCCTAAAGAATTCAAGTTTCCCAGAAAGAGAAACTGCATAATTGTTAAGAGAGCATAGCCCTATAAGAGAAAATCTCGGTATCAAAAATTCATAGAAGTGAAGTCCTACAGAGCCAGTTGAGAAATTTTAGGGAAGAAACAACCAAACGAGAAAAGGAGAATAAGGAAATCTCGGAATACAAAATCCAGAACGAAGTGGGTGCTCGATAGGTAGAAGATACCTTTTGCAACGGGGATCCTTCTGTTCTTTTCCTCTTTGTTTACGCTATTCCTCTCCTTTTAAGCGCAAGTAGCCAGAATAAAAAGTACTGGATAAACATAAATCAATATCTAAAAGGCGAATATGAGGCGATTGGGCGTAAAGAGGCGAGGCGTGGCCGCAACAAGGCGGTAAAGACTACTCGAACGGGAGATTCTCAATGCAAAATAGGGAGATTCTCAATCTTCCTACGAAATAAAATATATAAATAGGGAGATTCTCAATGCAAGGCGGTCAAGACTACTCGAACGGGCTTTCCCCTGACCGAAGCCGAAGTCTGAATGAATCATGGCCTCTAAGTCCTAAAGGTTACCTAAAGTGAAAAGACAACCTACTGTATTTGTAAATGTTGAAACCCACCGGGCCACCTCCCTTCACATTTTTTGTAAATGTTGAAACACCCCTTTTCAAATTGGTCCTACGGCTGAATTCACATTTGCGCCCCATAATATAATACCTGACAGCACATCTCAACATTGTATTGGAAAAATCTCCCGATGATAATATAAAAGATGATAAAGACATCATGTGTTTCTAATAGAAGGTTGGATGTGCTGTCGTGTTACTGCTCAAAACAGGCTTAGCCTTGGCAGGCTTAAGTTAGGGACATGCTCATCATTTTCGCCTGTAAGATTTTTGGGAGAACTAGTGTCATCTTCAGGCAGATCATTAAAAGCTTAATGTACTATTTGAGGAGGGGTGGTCGACCTCTTTGGGTGCCTAACCTTGGCACTCCTAGACCATCATCCCCTTGCGGGGCGGTCCTGGTTAACGGCTACCAGAGTTCCTCATGGGCGCACACTTGCTCATGGGGACAGTGTTGGACCAGCACGGTGCTACGCTTGGCATGCGGGCTTGGCTCAAGCATGACCCTTCACCACGCCAGTCTCTTGCCCAAGTTGAGTGAGCTATCCTATTGCCTTTAGCGCACGGGTGTGTTTCGACCCAAGCGGTTGCCTATCATCATGGCACACAGGTGCCTGTCATCATCGACATACAGGAGACCCCTCACATCGGTGCCAAGTCACCTCATCGACGCATGGTCGTCTTCCATTATGGTTGTCCCCCTTTAGCACATAAGCGGCACTTCCCATGGACCGGTTTGAGCCAGGAGAGTGCTCTGGCCATTGGACTTGAAGTCATGATCCAGTGCTACTGACATTGGTGGAGCCATCCCATTGGGCAACTCCTAGCCTCTAAGCACATAAAGGCTTGTCCTGGCCTGCCTTGACCAGGACGCTGCACGGGTTTCTTCCGCTGTAGAATTACCCCGTGACAGTGGGGCACAGATGTAAACTTGAATTCGATCTGATTATTGAAAATTTACATTGGATTCAATTTGATCATCTAAACAAATTCTAATCGGATTCGGATTTAATCTTAGATTTTTTAAATATAAAAATAAATTATTTTTCAATTTATATATATAATAAATTAATATAAATATGCCTTAAAAAAATTAATATAAATATAACATACTTATTTATACATATATATTAATATTATATTAAAATGAAATCTTACTGGATGAGTTTTATGAGAACCTCACGCGAGCCAATTTATACACGAATCTTACTATTTTACATATATCACACGTGTCTACCTTTATTTCTTGTTTCCGCTTCTCTCTCCCGCCATTTCTCCTTCCATTTTCATTTTTCTCTTCCTCAGTGTTCTCACTCTCTTCTCCTCTCTCTTCTGCTCCATCAACTCCCTCTCTTCTGATCCTATAACGGATCATTTGTCTGCCATCATGCGACGGATCATTTGTTTGCCGCTAAACGAATACCTTCTCACCAGATCCAATGGACCGTGCATTGCTTTCCCCCTTTAATTTTTTTAAGTTTTTGGCTATATCTTTTTCATCGATACACCCCCGATACGCCCTTGATATGCCCCGATACACCCCCGATACGCCCACGATATGCCCTTGATACGCATGAAAAAAGATGATACGTCCAATTTCCATACGTATTCTGTTCGATTTTTAAAAGATACGATACGATGCGCCCGATATGGGGCGTATCATATCGAAATTTTAAACCTTGGCGGTGACATGGTAGATTCTTATCCAATCAAAAGGATAACATTGGTGCACATCGGAACCCCAAGAGTTGGTGCTAGCACCTCCTAGCTCCTCAGTATTAATCCAAATAGCCTTAACCCAAGAGGCAAGTGAATTAGGTACAAATTTTTTCCAACTATCTCCTTTTTTCAAAAGATGAATGCAAAATAATAAAGATTGAGCATGACAATATAAAGTGAAATATATACAAAAATTTCAAGATTAAATATGAAGACCAATAAGAATTATCAAGAGCAAACACAAGAATATAAAGAGCACACAAATAATTTATAGAGGTTCGGCCAAACCTGGCCCACGTCCTCTTCACAAGCACACAACCTGAGAACTTCCACTATACCAATATGATCTTCCAATTGCTAGCAAAACCTTTACAATAGTTGGACTTGTGGGTTCCAGCAAGACATTTCTGGTGTTATCTCAACCTTTCACAACTAACAAACCACTGGTTATACAAAGGCATATAAGATATAAAACAATAAAAGCATAAACAAGTATAAAGACTCTCAATAGACTCTCAACAGAACTACTTATATTGCACAATAAGCACAGATAATGCATAAGGCTCTTGCTCTTTAACAAATTTCAAGTTTCTTAGTGATAAACACTTAAGCACAAATTACTCATTTTCTCTCAAAAATAACTCTCTCTCTCTCTCTCGCCCAAAAATCTCTTTTAAACACTTTTTGCTCTTTCTTTTCTCTTTCAAATCTTTTCTCACTTCATTAATTCTTACTTTCTTGATGTTATTCGCATGAGAGCTTGCATATTTATTTTGGATTCAATATATAGCCATTATAAAGCCACTGGAGCTCTTCTTACTCAAATGAAAATGTTAAAAGATCATACTCTATAACTTTCATAGCTTACTAAAAGAAGAAAGAACAACTACAAGTTTCAAACAATTGAAAACTGAGAGCTAACAAAAATCACCTATGTGAAGTAGTCAATTACTTTAGCTATAAAAGTTGAAAAACTCTAATAAGAGCCTTGGGAGTGAACTACTAAGTCTCGGTAGTTTATTCTTACATGCTACTCAAAATCTTTTTTCTATAACGATTGACTATCAAGCTATAGTAGTCGACCACTTCTCTTCCCTAGTCTCAATTTTCACGACTAATTGAGTGTAGTAGTTGACTACTTGCTATAATCACTAGTCTCTAGGATTAAGTTGTAAGAAAAGGTGGCCAAGTAGATCTAAAATAAGCCCTTAGTGCATATGCAAACTACTTACATCAAGTTCTAGAAAGATTAAACAGAAAAGATTCTTTTAATTTGATTTATTTGTTTCTAACTTGATTCCTTCATTTTTTTTCATAGGAGGGGCTTCTTCTTTTTCTTCATTAGAGATGTTTCTTGCTTTTTTTTAATCTATGCTTTGTCGATATGAGGACTCAAAGAAAATGTCTGCAAACTCTCATACATGTCAGTATTATCAATGAAATTGTTATCATCAAAACACATAAGGTTAGTAATGCTAACACTTGTCTCGCTCTTCGCATAACATACCATACACACTCTTAATGGCTTGGACAATGGCTGCCTTGAAGATTGACATGTGTCACACGTAGCAAGAAGCATAACGGTACTCCCAAACACATATATAAGGATACGCCACCCAAGGTGATACCTTCTTCACACTCTAGCTCTCAACTCTCTACATTGCTCTCTTGTTCATCTAATCTCTTCATGCGTTGGTTATCAGACTAGCTTTATTTGTCCATCTTGGCAATAAATTCATCTGCTGCTTGTCCACCTCAATTCGGATAGCATTAGATTAGCATTGTCTATGGGAATCTAAATGAAAAAGCCATATCTCTCTCATCATTTTTGACAACACTGATTAACATTAGATTAGCATTGTCTAGCATTAGATTAACATTGTCTACATCCATTGTTTCTTTGTCTACTACAAAGGTATAATATATGGCGGTTATAGCGAGGAGCCTTTATGGCCAAGAGGTTTGATTGGTGATCTGAGATTATAGCGGGATGCTACTATTGTCTACTATGACATCCATAGTGCCATGCATTTAACTAAAAATCAAATGTACCATGACAAAAACCAAGCACATTGATGTTTAATTCGACTACATTAGGGAGATTATGTTACAAGGAGTTGTAGTAGTGAAAATTTCTACAGCTAAAAATCTTATAGACATTGTGACGAAGGCTCTTCCTATCGCTAAGTTCAGGCATTGCATGGATTTGGTTTAGATTTATAGCATAAGGTGTTAATCCCAAGGGTCTTGAGGTAGAGGTGGAGAGTTTCTATTGTTAGTGTGTGACTTGAGGGAATTCAAGTCAAGGTGGTTATTTGTTAAGGGGGTGTTCTTTTTTCTTTTCTTTTTTGTTTGGATTTTGAGAGGGGGGAAAGTTGGTCAATTGGATTTTTACTCCCATTTACTAAGAATCCCATGTTCATTTTTTAGATTTATGTGATGACTTAGGAAAGTTTACTTTTCCACCTAGGGGGAAAGTTGCCAACACTTGAATGGAACAAAAATGCCCCTTTTAATAATGGATTTTTATTGCTAAAACGGTCATTGCCTTATTTACCTACGAAATAAAAGAACGTGGGTAAATGCACTTGCTCGGTAAGTGTTTGCCAAGTAATTGCATTTACCCGGGTAAGTAACTTACTAATAAGTAAAAAGGGCCTAAGCGTGATCTCACTCATAGACTCGAAAACCTCATTGTGATATACAAAGGTTGCTAGTTATCAATCTCGCATATAGGCAGATCTTGCGGACATTTTTAATAGTATTGTTTTTTCTATAAGAACTAACATTGATAGTAATGTATGGGTATTTTGGACATTTTTATGCATATTTTTAGAAGATGCTAGCAAAAGGGGTCTACTTGCAACTATGTAAGAAAGTTCAAGGGAAGTAAGTGCAATTACCAAACTTTAGGGCAGGTTTCAACAACAATTAGAAACTTCAGGGGAGGTTTCAACAATTTATTTTTACCCTTAAAAAATTACTTTCACATGCAAACAGATGATGGGTTGGTAATGGAGGGGAGGTTTTTGTCCAATAACACTACCAATAGGAGAGGTATTTTATCCCTAAAGTGAAATTTTAGTATTTACCATAAACAATGAGGTAGGTTTAT